TTATATGTTACAGAGACAATTGTCCAACTATTATATTCAACAATCGATAGTTATAGAACAACGTTTTGTTAGAATTGATTTTTATCATTTTTGAAATAACTCATAATAACAAAAAGAACCCAATTAGACAACAATTTTAGACATAGAATAAAATTACCATGGGAACTTGAATTGTAAAAATCCTTTTAATATTGACAAACTTTGCTGCCATTTCGAAATATACCCATTCTTTATTTTACTATTTGTTTCAGTTTACATCCTGATATTGGTTGGATACTATTCATTGCAAAATCGATAAATTTGTGGTTGTTTTTATTCAAGAAAGAATGAAAAGAAACTTGGGGGTCATAAATTACAATTGCAGAAATATGCCCAAGATAAATAGTCATGTGACGTAAAAATAATGTTAAGTTGTGGGCTACTGTTATAAGAAGACATAATAAAGAATTAAAATTATTATTTTTCAACAATAATTGGAATATATATATACATAAAATAAAACATGCAAATATTATTCAAAACAGCGTATTATTCAAAATTATATAGATTATCTGGATAACTAACAAACTAATTCATTCAATACTGCATTTCATTTCGCGTGTATATCAAGATGCAATAATACGCCAGGTGTGTGAAACCGTGTGTGTTTAATGTGCGCTGCACAGCGACAGGAACACTTTAAACGTGAAACCCATGTCCATGGCCCATATTTTCTCATTGTTTTGTTTTCGACAGATTTCATAACCGTATTATATACTCAACAGTGATATTAAACACGATTATGATTTTATACAATATTAAAACAAGGCCACCCATTTTTTTATGCAAATTACTTATTTCTACCTTTCCAAACTATATGCACAACTTTACAATAGGTTTGCAGGTACCGGTAAATCCAATTCTTTCACAGATGCTTTTCATAATATACCATCTCGGGTTTGGAGGGACGTAAACAAAACAGAATTAATCCTTACATCAATAGTGGCAATGCATTCATAAATGCAGAAGTCGTCACTTTAAATACGAATTGCAAATGAACAGCGCCACAGAGTTACATAAAAGTTGGACACGGTTATCACCCTAGTTTTGCTTAAATGTTGACAACAATAGACATGAAGTCTGAAACTACAATGCAATTTCGTTTGCTTAAGTGTTTTTTGAGTGAAAATTGTAAAAACACATACTATTATTTTAAAGGTTAAGAATATGCCCACAAACGCAATTCCTTAATTGTTTTATAAATAAGTATACATTTCAGTTAAATCCTACTAGCCAATCAAACAGTGCAGTGCGTAATGTTGTCATCTGAAACCAAAATTTCTCATTTTGGGTTGAATTTTGAAATTGATAAATGTTTATCAAACGTAAGAAATGTAAAACACTAGTATTTTTTGAAAATAAGTGACCTTGAACGTGGGTCGCATCTTTATTGTCATTATAGGTTTGATAAACACTTTACCATACCCATTATGCTCAATGTCTCCTATGGTGTGCATATGCTGTAGTAGTAGTAGTGGTTGTAGGAGCACACCAAACCAATTTGCCATTATGCACATGTAACGTCGGTGGTGGATAACGGTCTTCGGCTAGGGGGCCGGTGAACCAGACTTGATTATATCGTGGACGGATTCTCCCCCGTTCCTAACAGGTTTTTCTAGGTACCGTGACCCCGGGGTAGATTCAGAGCTTTGTCGCGGATTGTAAACCGACAAGTCGCCACTCTCCGATCTTTCAACAGCCGGGTCATTTGGCAGCGTGCCAACTGTCTCGTATTCTAATCCTTCCTTGCGAGTCAGCCAAAATGTAGGCATTTTTCCTTTGCCCTGAGAATGATTAAATAACATTGTCATTAATATAGTACAGTAGATGTTACAAACCACAACAGATCAAAACAATATCGACCCTGTGAACGGCCATCTTGTATCACGTCACAAAAATGCCTTGTCGCTAGAGGGCGCAACATGCATGAAAGATGTACATGTATTGAATGTATGATCTATTTATCGGAATAAACACGATTATAGGGAGATAATTGCGTGAATTCACAACTCTCGTCGTTGTATAAAAGAAACATTGAGCACTATCTGGATGTAGGTTACCTTGATGGCGATCTCTCCTCTTTTCACCATATGATATCCACCAAGATAATTTAGAGCACAAAATGAGCTATGTGAAAGATGAATTCTGTTATCTGCAAACAGTGAAACATGCAATACGACTGGTTAATTGGTTTATTTCTGTCATGTGGTATTGGGTGGTTGTGAGACGTGAGACGTCACACGATCTCCCTCAAGCTGTAATTCATAAGCATAGTTTAAATTAATTAAACAACCTGTTAATTAGTTAATTTACTGTCAATGTGAACTCCATAACACCTACTAATTTTCAACAAATAACAAGACAGTTATCGTACTGGAACCGGATGTTTGGTGTTCATTTGTTAAGAGTAACTGATAGCCATAATTTTAAATACACCTTACCCCCGCCATTAGATTCCATTCTTGAGGCCGTATTAACTGTGTCACCAAACAGACAATACCTAGGCGCCTTTGCGCCAACAACCCCAGCCACCACGGGGCCTGCAACAATAATACAATGTATAGTCATTATGCATTAGTAATTAACATAAACCATATAATGTATTCAAGGAAAAAAGTATTAATAAAATTATGAATCTCAGAGTAGTCAACGCATGTAGTTTTGCCTCAGAAGAGGATCATAAAAATATAATTATATTATAGAAGGGCGATCACTGATGTCTTACCAGTATGCATTCCAATACGTAACTTCATTCTAACTCCAGGTAAATGAGCTATCTCCATTGTACCGATATGATGTAGAATGTCTAGGGACATAGTAGCAATCTCGCCAACGTGGCGTTTACCATTGCGTCGAGGCAAACCTATAAAATGAGACATTTACAAAATACATGACACATCAGCCTCCAAAAGATTTAAAACGTCCGCCGAAATCTCGTTGCAATCGAGATGCTACCGTGACGAGAATTCAATTTGCTGTCAGGCTTCAAATAGTTATTCAGTTCTTTTTTTTTTCAGTCATCACGCTCAGTGTTCTAATTCTCTAAATTATAACTATTTGAGGGGCATAAACATTAAGTCTCGTGGCTCTCTCGCCCTGAACGAGATCTCGGTGACAATATTCAAAAACCTGAATGATGTCACAAAACAACGTGATTAAACAAAATGTATAATGGTATCTGTTCATTTGTTTCAACGCTAAAAACAATCCTTTCCAAAAAGATTTATATGGGTTCGAAAATGTATAAAAATGTTGCACTGACAATTTGGTTAGTAAATGATGGCGTTCAAAGAGTAAAGTTAAAAACCATTCCTAACATATTATTGGGAGCTTTGTGACAACTGTATGAATTTGAGTGTGAATTGCGAGGCGGGAAATACTACTTTGTATCAAACACCCATCGTTCGCTCTTACGAATTCATATCCGCTAAGCGCATCTTAACGCGTTGGTTTCCCAATTTACTACTTGTCGAATTTAATTTACTAATGCTTTTCTAATTATAGTGTTCCAATGCGTGTAGCTTCACACATATTCGTCTCCGATTCGCAATGATTCGAAACATGAGCGAATCCGGAAAATTCTTAAATAGATACTGCAATTTTCGTTTAGTGATACTAATCGAATTTTCATATAGCAGACACTAATAAATCTTTAGAAATTAACTCGAAATGCAAAGTTAAATTCTAGTTCAGCCGTTCTATGTGTTATGGAGGAAGCGTGACACAAGATATAATGCTGTACACACCTGATGCAACCATGTATGAATCCCCGATTGTTTCCACTTTGTACACGTCATATTGCTCAATCCGGGAATCAAATAAAGTATAGATACTGTTGAGCATGCGTACAACTTGCAGAGGAGAACTTTCTGCACAGATGGCTGAAAATCCCACGACATCTGAGAAGAAGATGGTGACTTCCTCGAAGGATTCAGCCAGGACGTCTTTGTTTTTCTTGAGTCGTTCGGCAACAGCCTGTGGAAGCATCTGATAGAGCAGTGAATCGTTGCGTTTACGTTCTCTCTGCAACTGGGCTGTCTGATCTACCAAGGTGATTGCATACTGCTGTATACGGTCAGTGAGGCTATAAACCGAGTTAATAATGATCGGACACATCAGAAGCACGAACACCAATATACCAATGCTGATCCCAAGCTGAACGAGATCCTCCTGTATTTGAGAATCTAACTCACTAAGGATCTTTACAGCGAGTGCATCCTGAATGTTGGACATGACATCCATGTAATATGTCATGTTATCGAACCACATTGTACCTGTTCTCCACGAGGCTTCGTTGGTGGCGCTGTTCAGTCTTATTGTGTTTCGCATTTCTGCCACGCTCTGAGTTATAGTCGAATCAAGTTTGTCAATCGAATCTTTGTACATGTTCAAAATGTTTGGTTCATACTTTGCAGAAGCTTCAAAGTTACCATTACCCTTAGCCCATTTTTCCATATACCATAGATAGTCATTGTATTTTCGAAATCTCCCATTTGTGTAAAAAATACCACCAAGAGTTCTTTCCACTCCTGTAAGCAAAGAGTTACAGTATTCAAATTAACATTTAGATTTTTACCAGGTACTGTTGTCCGACCTAGTCGTGGCGAAATAGGGCGATTCACTTCCTACAATTTTACTTTGGATTACTGGGGACTTGAGGTTAAAAGCTTGTCTGAAAAAGATCTGTAAAATAGCTCGGCTAGAAAGTATAATGGGTATTATTAATCAGCCCTGGAAGATATCTGAGAGGTTTACTGAGCAAGATCCCCGTATGGAGGCATGTATATTATTCGATAACGCTGTAGCATTGGTTTAGGTTTCCTACAGTTAAAATATTAATCACATCAATCACATAAATGTTCACTTCATCTTTTTTCCATATTATAAAATATGGGTTCATATAATGGTTAAAATAAAAGTGGGCTAGGAATTTTATTTTATCACAACTTGTGGCTTCGATACGGTGAATCTAACGATCAATTAGTAAATGTTTGTTGTTACCTATGTCTTCTTTAGCAACTATCACTAATTGGTATGCTACCAACTGTCGCCAAATTCCATCTCTGCCAGACGAGTTGACGACGTTCTGGTAAAGCCACGAGATAAAAACCCGGATGGTGTTTGTGTAGAATTCCACTTCGTCATAAATGGAGGAGTTTGACCCATCGAGATAGACACGGTGATCATCAAGGTACTTCTGGAATTCAATCTTGCTCTGAAACTGTGTAAGATCCTGCTTTTCCCTCACTGGCCATTGGTCCATAGCATCTAGTGCCGAGTCTGTGTCAGGGTATGCATCGCTCAGGAACTGTTTTGTCACTGGTCCCAGCGTGCTAATATGTAGCGTGGTCATATCACGTTCGTTCTGTAAGCGATGTAGCAGATTCCCGATATCTCTGCTGAAGAAGATGATTTGACGGATATTGTAGGCTTCTTCATTCTCTCGTAACGTTGTGGTCAGGTCATTTAGAGCAAGACCAATAAGTGCTATGACAGGCACCATGGTCAGGCCCATCATACGGATCATTTGTTTCACCTTGCCAGATTGTGTTAATGGGTTCCCACCACAGAGGGCGCGGCAACCCTTTTCTTCAGATTGGAGAAGCGTCCTGAGTGTATGGTCCACCTTCGCCATTGATCCCACACTCGACTGGCTAATTGTCTCCAACCCATCTTCCAGTTTTTTACGAAGAGCTGTAGCTGACATTTTTGCTAGATGAATATAAAAAACACAACAAATTTCAGCAGGAACATTTCTGAGTGTAAACAAAACGTGTCTCTATAAAAGGCATGAATATGCATTTACTGATTCAATGTTAACATTTCAATGATCGCTACTCTTGTTTCTCACTAATCTAAAACCAGCCCACGCTAAGGTTTCAACAGACTGGGGTGTCACTAAGACCAAGTAACACTAGGATGTTAGTAGGCCCAGGCAACACTTGGGGGCTTACTTATTAACCAAGGTCTCACTAAGACCAAGCCACACTTCAAGATGCAGTCCCACTTACACTGTTATTTTGCACTCATTTAAACAGTGGTAACCTATTCGAACACCTGGGTCTCAGTTAAGCATCATTACAACAAGAAACGAATTATACTGCTCAGAACACATTTGGCTTCACCTCAGGTTATAGTGGGTTCCACTGATACAGGAGACCTGAAACTGGTGCACATAGCGAGAACAAGATAAACACGATGTAAAATCGCCTTGGTTATAAAAGGTTCCATCGATAAGGGGCACATAAAAAAGATTATAAGCACATATAACATAGAGGATATGAAGTCTAGCTTATCGTAGGCTGTAGAATGTTCCACTGACACTGGGCACATTGAAACACTACGACTTTCTGTTTTCTACATTGTGAAATTATTAGTTTTTTTTGGGGGGGGGGGGAACCTGAAAACAACTGATTTTGAGTGAATTAAGAAATATCAAGAATATTGCATAACAAATATATTCCATGTGCTTATGAATAATAATTCTCATGATTACCGATTACATGTGATTAAAGACAAAACATAATCTGTTATATTCTCGATATTTTAGAATTTCATTTGACTAGAAGTATAACTGAAAAATGCTGGTAAAATACTGTTTTTTCCTCTATAAAAAAGAAAGTGCAAAATCTTTATTATAGTACGTTGATCTGATTGTGGCAACAGAGTGCACAGGGTCTGATTAATTCTTAACTGTAATGATTCACTCCAATTAACTTACTACACTTCGGGATCACACTTATATCTCTCAACAACAGCCATGCATAGATAGGATAATATGTCACTGTTAATGTATACAATCGTGATAAAAATTATATATTCACGTGGATTTGTTATAAATGGTTATTATACACTGATTAAGCAATGATGGTCGGGAGTCCCACGAGTCCTTAATTATATTTACATGCATAAATATTAGTAAATATTAGTAAATATGGTCATATACAATATGCTAACAGTAAAAAAAACATGATCCAATCTTTGAAAGTCTGACTAAAATTATTTACAAAGTGTACTTGAGTGTTACTTGGCATTTTCTTGGCAACGAGAATCGCAGTCGGCGTTATTGCCCAACGTGGAAATTGACGTACTGTTTTGGAAGGGGTGTAGCAATAATCATATAAATCAATTCATTGTGCATTCTGAATAAAAACTCAAATATACAAAATATCTCGGAGTACGACTCAAGCATTACATATCAATGTAACAGTTAAAGGCTCAATAACATTTCGTATCTCCTTGAATTATTGATTTCCGTAATATAAAGTTCAAGATATGAAGTTTGGAAAGCGTTTTTATGTCATCGCCTTCAGGTGACAAGATTATAAAGCTATATATTATTATGGTTCGTCTGGTAACCATTCGTCTGTTTTCGCGTTTCATTTGTTTGTGAGCGTCATCGACTCCCGCCGCTTCCGACTCTTAACCATATGCACATAGATTCAATTTTTTGACTGTTAGATGTATTATAATAGAAACGAATGACTCCTCA